AGGTTGTGTGCAGGAATGGGCTGCTGGTGATCCGTGATGACCCAGAAGGTGAGACCTTGGCATGTCCGTGCTGTACCCACCTCTGACCCTCTACCCTGACCTCCTTCCATTGCTGGAGAGTATGCAAATGAAATGCAAATGAAATACAGTTGACCCTTCAACCACGTGAGGGTTAGGGGCGCCAACCCCCATACAGTGGAAAATCCATGTATAACTTTGACTCCCCCCCAAACTTAACTACTAATAGCCTACTGTTAACCGAGAGCCTTACTGATAACATAAGCAATCAATTAACACATATTTTCTTTTTTCTTTTTTTTTAAATATTTTATTGATTTTTTACAGAGAGGAAGGGAGAGAGATAGAGAGTTAGAAACATCGATGAGAGAGAAACATCGATCAGCTGCCTCCTGCACATCTCCCACTGGGGATGTGCCCACAACCCAGGTACATGCCCTTGACCGGAATCGAACCTGGGACCTTTCAGTCCGCAGGCCGACGCTCGATCCAGCGAGCCAAACCGGTTCCGGCGACACCACATATTTTCTATGTTATATGTCGTATAAACTGTATTCGTACAATGAAGTAAGCTAGAGAAAATAAAATGATATTAAGAAAATCATAAAGAGCCTGGCCGGCGTGGCTCAGCGGTTGAACATCGACCTATGAACCAGGAAGTCATGGTTCCATTCCTGGTCAGGTCACATGCTCAGGTTGTAGGCTCCATCCCCAGTGGGGAGTGTGTAGGAGACAGCGGATCAATGATTCTCTATCATCATTAGTGTTTCTATCTCTCTCTCTCCCTCTCCTTTCCTCTCTGCAATCAATTAAAATATGTTTTTAAAAAAACAAAAAGAGCCCTGACCTGTTTGGCTCAGTGGATGGAGCGTCGGCCTGCGGACTGAAGGGTCCCAGGTTTGATTCCGGTCAAGGGCATGTACCTTGGTTGCGGGCACATCCCTGGTGAGGGGTGTGCAGGAGGCAGCTGATCGATGTTTCTCTCTCATCGATGTTTCTGACTCTCTGTCCTTCTCCCTTCCTCTCTGTAAAAAATCAATAAAATATATTTTTTTAAAAAAGAAAACCATAAAGAAAAAGAAAAACATCATAAGTAACAGACATAAAATTCACAGTACTGTGTGTTTTTATCAATACTGTAAGTTTACATCATCAGTTTTAGGCTATGCGGTTTATCTGTGAGTTTTTTCAAATTGCTGGTTAAAAAAAAATCTGCACATAATGGACCCAGGCAGTTCACTCATGTTTTTCAAGGGTCAATTGTATATGTAAGTGGGTTTACTTGGCTAAAGAATATTGTCTTGATGTAATTATGGTTTTCTCCAGGTCATGGTTAAGGTTTTTAAGGGATCAGAATGTCCCTCCTGGGAGCTTTAATTCATGGGCGAAGGAGATGGAGCTGAGGAAGGGAGTCAGCTTTGAGGGCGGAGGAGCCGTTGAGCAGCAGCTAGCGCTCCGGTACTCACTGCCAGTGCAGTTCCCCTGGCAAAGTCGCAGGCTCTGTGTCCTCCCCGCCGCGGTGGCGAGGGCGCCTCACTTCCTGCGCAGGCCTGGGTCTTGCTGGCCGGCTGGCTGGCCACGCACTGGGCAGGTTGCTCCGATCAGGGTGCTCAGTGCTGTCCAACATCGGTTTCTCTCCCCCTTGGACTGGAGTCATAAGATCTTCCTCCCTCACTTATTGATCCAACTAGACGATTCGAGCCTGGTCACACGTTTTCCCAGTTAAAATTGTACCTGCCTCCGAGAATCGCCCTCAGTAAAAACCAGGGCATCATAGAACCAAGTTCTCCAATTTAAACACACACACACACACACACACACACACACACACACACACTACTCTGAAGCTTGTTAAAATGTCGGTCTCCCCCCTATTCTCCGCCCCCCAAGATTTTTGGATCCATTTGTTCAGGGTGGGCTCCGCCACCTGCGTTTTCAGCCAGTCTGTGCCTCTCCCTCCCAGCCTCCCCTCACCCCAGGCGATTTTGAGGCCGTGGTCCATGGACCACCCTGTGAGAAAATACTGTCTGTTGAGCTGGGAGCATAGTATTTGCGCTTCCTGCCTGGGGCTTAAGAGTCATCAGAATGCAGACCATCTGGGTTGAGTGGGTTTGACTCTTTCCTTTCCCTAGACTTAAATTGTTATCTCACTTGGTTCCCTGGGCCCCAACTCAACAATTCTGGGGGCGGCCCTGGAGCATCACATTTTAAAATTCCCCAGTGGATTCTGAGTTGCAGTCAGAGTTGAGATGCCCTGGATCCCAGGGTTGGAATAGAAGAAACTCATGGCTAATATCTGAGGCAGCTTCCCCAGCCTGGCTCACCACCAGTCCCCCCGGGAGTCGGTTTTGCTGTTGGGGGACGTACAGCTTCAGCCCTGGATCCTGGGATTTGGGGTATGACCTGGGCTTCTGTATTCTTCAAAACACCCCCAGCAGATGGGCCCTGTGGTCATGCAAGTTCAGAAACCATTGCCTTGAGGGTAGGTAGGACTCTGTCAGGGACGAGTCCTGCTTTTATTCCTGTGTTGTAGCTGCAGGTCCTACGGGTGTTGGATGATACAGTTGCCGTGCTCTGCAGCCCCGAGGCCTCCTGGGTCAGAGGCCACGCGGAAGGGTCTTAACCTTCTCCCATCTGTTGCCTGTTTCAGGTTTGGAATTCCCCTGGGGACCTAAGCCTTTCAGGGAAGTCATTGCAGGGCCCTTGCTTAGAAATAACGGGCAGTCCCTGGAGAGCAGCAGCCTGGAGGGGTCTCACGTGGGCGTCTATTTCTCCGCACACTGGGTGAGTGTTTGCTCCTCTTCGGCCCGGACAGAACGAAGCAGGGAGGTCCCACCACCACCAGCTGTGATCGGCTCCCGGAGGTGTGACTGCCGGGGCGTAATTTCCTGGCGTCCTTCCTTTCTCCTGTGCCCAGTGCATTGTGATTGGCGGGCAACAAGTGCTTATTATTATGAATGATAATAGCAGCAAGAAAATGACTTCTTTTGACTGGTCTAAACAGACAGCTTTCTTAGGCCATTCTGGTGAGGCTTCTCATGGTCTCTGCGGGGGTTTGACTGCTGCCGGCTGGCCGGCTGGGAGGGGCGGGAGGAGCCTGTGCTGGATGCGGCCATCATGCTTGTTGCTGCCTCTGATGGACCAGGTCCTGCCAGCCCAACTCTGTGTGGGCCCTGCTGGCCTCCCGGCGATGGCAGGGGGCTGGGAAAGGGGACGCTGGAGGTGCAAAGTCACGCCCGGGATCCTGTTCTTGTCTTTCAGTGTCCCCCTTGCCGAAGCCTCACCCGGGTCCTGGTGGAATCCTACCGGAAGATCAAGGAGGCAGGCCAGAAATTCGAGATCATCTTTGTTAGCGCAGACAGGTAAGGTGGTGCGCCGGAGCCGGTTAACGTGCCTTTGTCTCACTTCTCCCTTCTCACTTCTCACTTCTGTAGGGTAGAGCTTGGAGACTGGGATTGGGGAAAGCATAGCTGGGATTATTGGCAGCGGGACGGATGCATGTCACATGTACTCTGGGAATTGTCTGAAGGGAAGCCGAGAAAGCCTTGTTCTTGCTGTAAATATGTTGGTAGGTCCTAATTCAGGCCGGGGTCGTTTGAGATTAGGATGCATTTTCCTGATTTGTTCAGCTTTGGATTGTGGTGAAAGGATATGGAGGTGGGGGGGTGGGGGAGGAGGATGGAAAGAAAAGAGCAGAGGCTAATGGATTGTGATGCCTGTCTTAGCTGGCTGTGTAGTCACCTTCCTTAGCTCCAGCCACGAACTTTATCTGGGGGTGTCATAAAAACCAGGGGGGCAGACCTTTTTCCTGGACCATGTCGGGCCCTTTTAGCCCCAGTTTCCTCTGCCTCTTGCCCTCTCCCTGGCTTTATTCATCAGTGACCGTCCTACATCACAAAACTCTGCCCCAATTCAGACCGAGCCGCCAGGTGCTTCTGCCTTTGAGTGCCTGCTCACAGAAGGCTCTCTGAGAGCCAGCACATGGAGAGCATGCTGTACGCTGAGGTAGCCTTGACGTCCGTGCTGTTTCATGCTGTGGTCCCTCCCCCGGCTCCCTGGCTTCCATCTCAGTGCCTGTGAGTGGGGACAAGCTTGAAGCATGCCAGGTGGAGTAATAACGTGTTTAAAGCTTTTTAAAAAATCAACTTCACTGCAGTATAATTGACATACAATGAAATGCAGACATTTTAAGTACACAGTTCAATGCATTCTGACAAATGTGCGTACCATGTAAGCATCACAATTACAATAGAGCATTTCCAGCACTCAGAAGACTTCCCATGCCTCTCCTCGGTCAGTTCTCACCCCCAAGCCCCCATTTCAAGGCACCCCTAATCTGCTTTCTTGGCTGTTGCTTGATTAGATTGGTCATTCCTGGAATTTCTTACGTGTGGAATCATAGTGTCTATGATTGCTTAAAAGTGTGGTCCTGTACACGCCACTCTTACTATACAAAATAGAAATGTCACAGGAAACGCAGTGTCTGAACATCTGGGCTTCTTATAAAAAAGTGTTAAGACCCATCTGTGTTGAACATGAAAAGTTGGGCTGGGTGCAGTGGCTCAGTGGTTGAGCATCCATCTATGAACCAGGAGGTCATGGTTCGATTCCCGGTCAGGGCACATGCCCAGGTTGCAGGCTCGATCCCCTGTGTGGGGCATCCAGGGGGCAGCCAATCAATGATTCTCTCTCATTATTGATGTTTCGATCTCTCTCTCCCTCTCCCTTCCTCTCTGAAATCAATAAAAATATACTTTGAAGAAGGAAAGAAAAGTTGGGCATGAGTTAAACGAGGGGGGTGCAGGGGAGCGAGCTGTTGAGATGGCCTGGCGTTGTGGTTTGTATCCACCAGCCCTGTGGAGGCATTTGCTTCCCGGCGTACAGAGTGGACGAAATGACCCCTCTGTGTCTGAACGCGATCAGACGCCTCTGCATCTGCAGAGCCCTGGGCACTG